GGGGAATGATGGGGAACATAAAAATACATTTTTTGGGGGGAGAGGGCTAGCAATCTGAATCTGTGCCAGTAACCTGCCTTTCAATGCACATTCTTGCTAGCTGATAATTAACTCACTGCCCCTTCCTTATTTGGTCTTGCAAGACCTATTTACCTAAATACTCCCATTTTACAGAGGCCATAAACCATGAACAATACACAACCCTCAGAGGGAGTTATTAGCGCTGGCACCAGGCCAGGCCTTTAGGTGTGGTCTCAAGTCCCCCATCCCAACACACGGGGCTTTTTCCAAAGCCCGGAAAGGTCCGGAAGTCTGATCCATATTTGGGGGACAAAGAAACCAAAGGGTATAAAGGAAAAGCTTGCTCCATATTCAGGGGCTCAGGATTTGGAAACAGGCTCCCCTGAGTCACTGTACTAGTACATGTGAAACATCTGAAAATAAATGGGTTTATCCTGAATCTCTGAGTACTCCTGTGCATTTTTCAGTTGCCTAGTAAATTTTGTAACAGTCAATTTTAAGACATTTCAATTCTGTAACTTATAAAATGAACATAATAATACCAGGTAGAGAGAATTCCTTTAAAAGCCAGTTATTTGAAGAAATAGTGAATAGGGCCTTAAGAATTCAGAAATATGATTGTTAAACTGCAAGATCAACACATTATAGGCCAGAGCAGAGTATGAAAAGAGTAAAACAAAAGAATGGCTGCAGCCCAACCGGCATGGCTCAGTGGTTGAGCATTGATCAATGAACCAGGAGGCCACAGTTCAATTCCTGGTCAGGGCACATGCCCAGAGTTGTGGGCTTGATCCCCAGTAGGGGGCGTGCAGGAGTCAGCCGATCAATGGTTCTCTCTCATTATTGGTATTTCTATCTCTCTCTCCCTCTCCTTTCTACTCGGTAATCAATAAAAATATATTAAAAAAAAAAAAAAGAATGGCTGTAGGGTTAGCAACACTGGACCATACCATAACTATTACAACAGCAAAATAAACTATGTGGTAGAGAAAGTTCTTAGGATAATATTTAAGGTGCAGGGTAATTTGCTAACAAAGAAATAGAAATTCCTGAAACACAATGGAAAGTGTCAAGAGGGAGGAATAGGTGTGTGTGTGTGTGTGTGTGTGTGTGTGTGTGTGTGTGTGTTGGGGAGGGTACAGGAGAGCTTAAAGAATGATGTGATTAATAGCACATTAGAAAAGAGGCAAGAGAGGGCTCCTTTTTAGATATTAAAGGTTGAAATGCTGGGATTACCTACAATTCACAAGGGTGGTACCTTAGGCCAGAGTATTGCAGTAGCCTCCATCTACTCACTTTTCACATCAATGTTTCCATAGAAGAAAGCTTTCAAAGTTCTGATGATAGAAGAAATGCCTTTGCTCTAAGAACAGTACCTCTTATGACCAACAGAAGGTGAATCAAAGGGCTCCTGGATCCACCCTAGCAATGTAAACCACTGGTGATACTTCTAATCTTGGATCACATTGACTTTTTCCCCTTTTTATTCCAAGCTTCACTGACATTAGAAAGAAGGGTCAACGAAGAGTAGAACAGGGCAAGGTGGGAGCAACATACAAAGCTAGAGATGAGCTTAGAGATGTGATCACTCAGACCTTGGCCAGACAAACATTGATGTGGTCAGTGCAAGAGGAATGGAGCAAGTAAAGATAGGTATTCCAACTTATGGTCATTATGAGTTCTTCCCTGGAATACCGCACCTCCCAACAAGTGGGGGCTGAGTGTTGGAGTTAACTTATGTTGTCAAGGGTTTGTAGTAGTGAGGGAATAGGGGAAATAAAAGAGGAGGGAAGTCCTAAGTAGTAGGAGAAAAGGAATAGGAAGTATACTAGTGAATTTGGAAATTTTCCTTTTATGAAATACATTTCTTACAAAATATTTTATAACACTTTATGCTATTGTTTTAAAATAAAAATTATAGGAGAAACCAAGATGGTGGCATAGGTAAACACCTGAAATTGCTGCCTTGCACAACCACTTCAAAAATACAACTAAAAGACAAAATGGACATCATCCAGAACCACAGGAAGGCTGGCTGAGTGAAAATTCTACAACTAGAAGGAAAGAGAAAAGCACACTGAGACTCAGATGAAGTGCGGAAGTGCAGAGGTACGGAGGCGCACGTGGAAAGGGCTGGCAACTGAGGACATGGCTGTCTTTTTCAATCAGGAGGGAGACACAAGCTCCCGACGGCCTTGAACTCCAGTTCCGGGCGAGTCTCTGGGGACCCAGACTCATATGGGGAGAAACTGGACTGTCTGGCATCAGGCAGAACTCAAGGGCGGGCGGCTTTCTCTCAGAGGTGCTTGCAGTGATTACCACGGGACACTGAGACTCGGGGCCTCTTAGGGCAGGGCTGAGGATCAGCCATAGCTGTTTGCTCCGCCCTGTTGATTTCCTGAGACCCCGCCCCACCCAAGCTCTGTGCAGAGGCTTTTGTATATGAATGGCCTGGCCCTTTGCAATCTAAAATTACCTAACAAACTGAAGCTGGGTCAGAGAGACCCAGAACATCCAAAAGAAGGCCCAAGGCCCCACAGCAGCTTGCATTGCTTCACAGCTGGGCCTCATCTGGGCACCTCCAAATCCCAAACAAAGAAGAGGAATCTGCAGATCTCTCTGTAGCTCCTGCTGGGTAGCCTCAGGCAGAGGCTAAATTAGCACCTCCTTAGAGATCCAAGTGCCAGTGTACCCAGTGATCAGAGTGAGACCATCCAGATTACAACTCCTCAGATCCATAAGGGACATACTCAAGAGGCATACTCAGCACCAAAGCCCCACTGAAGCAAGTCTTGCTCCATAAAGGTGTCTCCAGCACAGAAGTTCTCCCACCCTACACACTGCTGATTCTCACAGCCAATTGGCCTGGAAGTCAATTCCTCCCAGTGATACCTACAACAATCAAGGCTTAACTACAACAAGACTGTGCACACAACCCACAAAGGGGTGCACCAAGAGTGTCCACCTCAGGTAATTGGGGAGGCTGAGCCACTGGGCCCTATAGGACACTTAGCACAGAAAGCCACTCTATCTACACAGCGAAGCATAAAAAATGTGGAGACAAAGAAACAGGTCATAAATGACAGAAATGGAGGAAAGCAAACAACTGGATATAGACTTCAAAACCACACTTTTAAGGTTTTTCAAGAATTTTCTAGAAACCACCGATAAACTTAATGAGATCCTCAAGAAATCTAGTGAGACCCTCGATGTTGTGATAAAGGACCAACTAGAAATTAAGCATACACTGACTGAAATAAAGAATATTATACAGAGTCCCAACAGCAGACCAGAGGATCGCAAGAATCAAGTCAAAGATTTGAAATACGAAGAAGCAAAAAACACCCAACCGGAAAAGCAAAATGAAAAAAGAATCCAAAAATACGAAGATAGTGTAAAGAGTCTCTGGGACAGCTTCAAGCGTACCAACATCTGAATTATAGGGGTGCCAGAAGAAGAGAGAGAGCAAGATATTGAAAACCTATTTGAAGAAATAATGACAGAAAACTTCCCCTACCTGGTGAAAGAAATAGACTTACAAGTCCAGGAAGTGCAGAGAACCCCAAACAAAAGGAATCCAAAGAGGACCACACCAAGACACATCATAATTAAAATGCCAAGAGCAAAAGACAAAGAGAGAATCTTAAAAGCAGCAAGAGAAAGAAAGTCATTTACCTACAAGGGAGTACCCATACGACTGTCAGCTGATTTCTCAACAGAAACTTTGCAGGCCAGAAGGGAGTGGCAAGAAATATTCAAAGTGATGAATACCAAGAACCTATAACCAAGATTACTTTATATAGCAAAGCTACCATTCAGAATTGAAGGTCAGATAAAGAGCTTCACAGATAAGAAAAAGCTAAAGGAGTTCATCACCACCAAACCAGTATTATATGAAATGCTGAAAGGTGTCCTTTAAGAAGAGGAAGAAGAAAAAGGTAAAGATACAAATTATGAACAACAAATACACATCTATCAACAAGTGAATCTAAAAATCAAGTGAATAAATAATCTGATGAACAGAATGAACTGGTGATTATAATAGAATCAGGGGCATAGAAAGGGAGTGGACTGACAATTCTCAGTGGGAAAGGGGTGTGAGGGGTGCGGGAAGAGACTGGAAAAAAATCATACACCTATGGATGAGGACGGAGGGGGTTGGGGGGTGGTAAGGGCAGAGGGTGGGGTGGGAATGGGTGGAGGGGAGCTATGGGGGGAAAAAAGAGGAACAACTGTAATAATCTGAACTATAAAGATTTAAAAATAAAATAAAATAAAATAAAAATTATAAAATTAACATGTTTTACAAACACATATGCCACAGCACTGCTATGCTTTTTATTCAGCATACTACCAAAACTATGTTTTTAAAGCAGTGGTAGCCAACCTTTCAGACCTCACGGACCACCTGCTGGCGACCGCTGTTTTAAAGTCTTAAATAAAAAGACAACTCAACTAGTAATTACTAAGTGCTACATGTTATAATCTTATTGGATATTTAAAAGTTTCTTTGAATACTTGATAGAATTAAAATTATATAAAATTATGAAATTTTTAAGTTTTATATACAATAAGGGCAAATAAGCAGAACACGATTTGGATAGGCCCAAGATATTTAGTGTTTCCCAAACTTTTCCCCCAAAGGATCTGTATCAGAACAGAGAACTCTCAGAGGCCAGAGGAAATGTCCTGACGCAAGCTGCTGTAAGTCCAAAGTTTCTAAAAAATGTTTTCATTTTTTTTTAAATTTTATTATTTAATTTAAATTTTTCTACTAATTTTGTTAAATTCCATAATTGTACATTTATTTTATTATAAAAATGTTTTAAATTATTTTCTATGGAGTAAAATGAACACTTTGGCAAGATGCACCTTGTTTATTCTGAGGCTTCATGTATCCCTAGGAGTAAAAATTCCCAATTGAGAAACACAGCATTATAAACACATGCTATTTGAATATTATCCTTATGTAGTCTTACCTCCATTGTAGGTGGAGTTTTTCTTGTTTTTCTAATCCAAGCTAGAAAAAAAAATTTTTAATGTAAGTTTCCTGTAACTTGCACAAACATTTTATTCATTCATGCATAACACAAATATTTATTGAGAAACTGTTATATATTGTTTTAGGCACTGGAAATGCCTAAACAACAGAGAACCAAACATAAATTCCCTCTTTCCATAGTATATATACTAGTGAAGGGAGTTCAGAAAAGAAACACACAAACATATCAGAAGATGATCTGTGTCATGAAAAAAATGCAACAGTTGGGAGGGTAAACAGGGGACATCTTCATACCTACTAGTAACATCATACCTCATACAATCATCTGAATTCAAATTAGTGTAAGTACAGCATACGTGCCCTTGACCAGAATCGAACCCGGGACCCTTTGGTTTGCAGACCAACGCTCTATACACTGAACCAAACCAGCTATGGTGAAAGAGTTGATACTTAATACAGCTGTTGAATGAATACTTCCACTAAAAAAATTGTCTTAATGGAATTTTAACCTGCATTAGAAAATCCAGGTTAGTAGCAGTAAGATTCCTCTGTGCAATCAAGGAAAGAAGTGGTTTATGAAATTTTTCAACCGCCTCTTTGAAGTCAAAATAAAACTGACTTAACTATACTTATAGGCATTTTTTTTCTATAAAAGAGGCTTCTTTTAAAATAATTCAACATGAGCCGTACAACTCTTTTTAAGCAATAAATCTTCCATTTTAATCTAGATTAAAAACTTAATTCAGAAATATCAACTGGTAGGTCAAGGGTTGGCAAACTATAGCTTGCAAGCCATATATAGCTAATGAAGAACAATATTTCATGACATGTGAAAATTACATAGAACTCAAAGTCAGTACCCATAAAAAAAGGTTTTGCCCTGTCAGTGTGGCTCAGTGGTTGAGTGTCGACCTATGAACCAAGAAGTCACAGTTCCATTCCCAGTCAGGGCACATGCCCAGGCTGTAGGCTCGATCCCCAGTGGGGGGCATGCAGGAGATAGCCAATCAATGATTCTCTCTCATCATTGATGTTTATCTCTCTTTCCCTCTCTGAAATGAATAAAAACTATATCTATTTTAAAAAAGGTATTATTGGAACACAGCCACACTTACTTGTTTACATATTTTCTATGGCTACTTTTGTGCTACAACAGCAAAGTTGAGTAGTTGTAACAAACCACATGGCCCACAAAGCCTAAAACAATTACTATCTGGCATTTAAATAAAAACAATTGCCAACCCATGTGCTAGTGCTACCATCCTATATAATATCCTATATAATAAAAGCCTAATATGCTAAGTGTCCGGTTGTCTGTTCAACCAATCAAAGCGTAATATGCTAATGATATGTTAAGGCTGCTCAACCGCTTGCTATGATGTGCACTGACCACCAGGGGACAGATAGTCGACTGGTCGACCAGTTGCTATGCCATGCACTGACCACCAGGGGGCATACACTCTGGTCAGGTTAGCTTGCTGCTGGGGTCCAGCTGATTGGGACTGAGCAAGATGGGCCGGACACACCTGGAGCCCTCCCATGGTCTCTCCCCGGCTGGCCAACCTCCTGCGTCCCTCCCTGACCCTGATCATGTACTGGTGGGGTCCCTTGGCCTGGCCTGCGCTCTCTCACAATACAGAACTCCTCGGGGGATGTCGGAGAGCCAGTTTTGGCCTGATCCTGCAGGCCAGGCCCAGGGACCCCACTGGTGCATGAATTCGTGCAGCAGGCCTCTAGTTAATATAATTCTTTTAGCAACAACTGTATATGTTGATTCAAAACACTTTCATATTACTTGCTATTATACTTTTTACTAATGATTGTCATGTATTCTAGAGTCTGTGAACACACACTGTTGGCATTAGATCATGCTAAAAAGTATAATGGCACAATGCATAGTTACTATCACCATGAGAAAAACAACTAAAAACAACAATTTGTCTTATTGATGAGTCTATAAATAACATTTTCAGTTTTTCTTAACGGTTAGAAAAACAAAAATATCTCGATAAAATCCAAATATTTTTTTTAATTCCAAGGTACATTAATAGTTTGAGGAAAGTCTGATATGTATTTTCTAAAGCTTACTGGTTTTGGATAAGTTTATAAAATTCATTCATAAATGTAAGAATATAATATAATTCAGATAATGCATTAAGTACCACCAAGACCAGTGGTCAGCAAACTCCAGCTTGCGAGCCACATGCGGCTCTTTGGCCCCTTGAGTGTGGCTCTTCCACAAAATACCACGTGCGGGCGCAACGTACGCGATTGAAACTTCGTGGCCCATGTGCAGAAGTCGGTATTTTGTGGAAGAGCCACACTCAAGGGGCCAAAGAGCTGCATGTGGCTCGCGAGCCGCAGTTTGCTGACCACTGACCTAGACTATTCACTCTCATGGGACACTAATCTCCAAGAAAAGATATAAGGGCTTCCTTTGGCTTTATTTTAAATGGCTGAAGGGAAAAAAATCTTTAATCTACATAAAAGCAATTACTGAAATAAATTTATATATTTATAATTCTACAATAACCAGATACTTGAAATGTCTTCTTGAGATGATAGTTGATGGCTATTCAAGAAAGGTTTACAACTGGAAATTTTCAATGTGACTCAATTATATAATCATCCCTAGTTTCCCATTCACTATGTACAAAAAAGGAAATGTCCTGCTGAAGGTTGATAAAATTTAGGAGGAGGAAGGAATAAAAATAAGCATTAATATCAAATCACTACTTTTGTTTTTCTTTTTTACCTCAGAATAATCTGGAACTGAACCTGTATCCAATTATAAATTATATAATGATTTTACCATTGGTAATTATATCTGTGAGGTGGGTTCTGTATCAGTCCTCATTAAAATATAACCATTGTTTGAATAGAATTTAGCAAGACAACTGGACAGTTTATGCCTTAAGATCCTAGCATTCCTTCATCAATGTTCCTTTGCATTCTCATTAGTATGCATAAGATTTTCATTGAACTTTAATATCCTTATTGGAATATAACTCACTATAATGAGCATGAAAGTGAGCATGCGAATTAAAGCTCCCATTAATAACTAAAAGGGACTAGAAGAAGCAGACAGGAAAATACTTCATGAAGCATACATTCTACAAATCTCCACAGACACTGAAAATAGCTAATATACTTTTAGAAGCATTGCCAACAGGGGTTAAGGTAAATGAGACATTCATCACCAGATTCAGTAGACCATTCAGAACTAAAATTATAGAAAGGTCACCAATAGTCTGCATATAAAAGATATTATAGAAATATGTGTTGTTTACTTTACTTGAGGGAAAGACACCATAATGAAGCTTCACCTTTTAAAAAATGATCTTTGCCAGTTCTGAGTGTTGACATATCTCAAATAACTATAAATATTAAAAAATCTACATTTTTTTAAATATATTTTTTTATTGAGTTTTTACAGAGAGGAAAGGAGAGAGATAGAGAGTTAGAAACATCGATGAGAGAGAAACATCGACCAGCTGCCTCCTGCACACTCCCCACTGGGGATGTGCCCGCAACCAAGGTACATGCCCTTGACCGGAATCGAACCTGGGACCTTTCAGTCCGCAGGCCGACGCTCTATCCACTTTGCCAAACCGGCTTCGGCAAATCTACATTTTTAAATTGTGAAAATTCTTCAAATGAAATGAGTCATTTTCTGTTTGTTTTTTGTTAAACCTCACCCAAGAATATTTTTCCATTGATTTTTAGAGAGCATGAAAAGGGGGTGGGTGGAGGCGGGGTGGGGAGAGAGAGAGAGAGAGAGAGAGAGAGAGAGAGAGAGAGAGAGAAAGAGAGAGAGAGAGAAAGAGAGAGAAACATCGATGTGAGAGAGACACATCGAATGGTTGCCTCCCATACGGTCCCAACCTGTGCCAGGGATAGAGCCTGCAACTGAGGTGTGTGCCTTTGACTGGAATTGAACCGGGACCCTTCAGTCTGCAGGCTGATGCTCTATCCACTGAGGCAAAGCGGGTAGGGCGAAATGAGTCATTTTCTAACTACTGACCCTTAAGCATATCTTAAGGATATTATTAGATTTAGTTGGCATATTTAAGTTACAAATTTTGTGATGCTCACAGCTATTACTGTTCTTTTTTAAATCAACTTTATTGAGATACAATTTATATACAATACAGTGAAACCATTTTAAATATGCAATTCCATTAATTTTGACAAATGTGTACAACCTTGTAACCAGCACCATGATCAGTATATAGAGAACATTTCCATCATCCCCAAAAGTTCTCTAGTGTCTGACTATATGCAAACACCCTAATCCACCCACAACCCCCCGTGAATGACATACTTTCTGTCACCATTGATTCGTTTTGCCTTATCTACAATTTCTTATAAGTGGATTCTTACAGTATGTACTCTTTCATCTAGCTTATTTTACTCAACATGTTGTTCATAAGGTCATTCACGTTATTGTGTGTAAAGAACAGACTCTTAAGGTTGCCTCCACAACCCCTACCTCACAGTATTCATGCCTTTGTGTGATTGCTTCCCCTTGAACAAAGGCAGAACCTGTGACTTACTTCTAAGTATGAAAATATGGCATTGATTACTTGCATCAACAGTTCAGAATAATTAGACTTAGGTTAAATGCTGCTCCAATCCACCTGACAAATCTTAAAAACAAGCCCTGAAAGGATCAAACTGTTTCCCAGTAACTTAACTGTCATAGAATAAAGCTCAAGAACATATATAGGAGAACAAAAATATCCAGTATCCAACTAGGCAAAAATTCGAAATGTCTGATATCTAATCAGAAATTGCTGAGCAAACAAAGAAACAGAAAAATACTTCCCATATTGAGGAGAAAAGAATCAGCTAACCAAAACCAACTGAAAACAGACACAGGTGGTGGAATTAGCAGACAAGAATATTAAAAGTTATTATTGCACTCCATATGTTAAAAAAGCTAGAGAAAAGGTAAAACATATTAAGTAGAGACCTGGAAGATATAAAACAGACCCATATCAAAATTATGGAGATGAAAAATGCAATCTCTAAAATGAAAAATACTCCAGTTGGATTAATAGGAATTTGACATGGTAAAAAAAAAAAAAAAAAAAGAGTAAATAGGGACTTGAAGATACAGCAAGAGAAATTATACAAAATGAAACCCAAAGAGGAAAAGTCTCCACAAATGAACAGCGCATCTGTGAGCTGTGAGAAAACTTAAAGCAGCTTAAAATTATAAATGGATCCCCAAAATAGAGGACAGAAAAGGACACAGAAAAAAAATTGAAGAAATGATGGCAAATTTTTTTCTAAATTTGATGGGAACTATAAATCCACAGGTCTAAGAAACTCAGGCCTCAGTCCTCATTTGACATAGTTGATCACTTCTTTCTCATTTGGCTTCTAGCACATGACACTTTTCTTTTTTTCCTCCTACTTTTCTGGCTGTTCCTTTTTTGCCTTGTCTCTAAACCTTGGGAGTAGGGGGAGAGGAGTGGGCAGTCTTTTAACTTCTCATTTTCTATTTACACTCATTCCCTTTGTGGTCTCATCCAGTCTCCTGGCTTTAATTATCATTTATTTGCTGTCAACTCCCAAATTTTATCTGCAACCCAAACTTTTCCACTAAATTCTTGGCTTATATACAACTCACTATCTCTACTTAGATGTATAATAGGCATATCAAAATTAACATTTCCAAAATTGATCCCATTTCCCCCAAAATTTGCTCCTCCCACAGTCTTGCCTCTCTCAGTCAACAACTCCATTTTCCCAGGTAAGGCCCAAAAGCTTAAGAGTCATCACTGACTTCTCTCTTTCTTTCACATTCCACATCCAATCTGTCAGCAAATCCCATCAGCTCTACTTTTACAACAGATACAGAATGCACCTACTTCTTTCCATGCCCACTGTTGCTCTGGTGCAGATCACAATTATTCCTTGCCCAAATTATTCCAAGAGCCTCTGTCTCCATGTTTTGCCTATGACCCCCTTAGTCTCTTTGCAATGCAGCAGCCAGAGTGACCCTGTTAAATACAACTCCCGAGCATCTGACTACTCTTTTCAAACTGGCCTGCGACACCCTACATGATTGGGCATCCTGTTACTTTCTTAACCTTATCTATTCCTTTCCCCCTGGCTCTATCCCAGTCACTCTGCTTCCTTGCTGTTCCTTAAGCACCTGAGCATGCTCCTGCCTCAGGGCTTGTGCATTTGCTCTCCAGGAATGCTCCTCTGCTGTTTATCTGCATGGCCAACTCCCTCTTCTGCCTGTATTCAAGCCATCTTCTCAGCAAATCCTTTTCCTTATACTTCTTAAAATTGCAAAGCCTTCTCCAACACTCTCTATTCCTTTTCCCTGCTTTATTTTCTTTAACATACTATATAGATATTTGTCTGGTTTATTGTCTTCTCCCTCCCTCTCCACTCCAGAATGGAAAGTCCCATGAATGCAGAGGCCCTCAATAGATATTTTCTAAATAAATGAAAAGGGCACACTATCTAATACATTATTGTGGCAGTATATGCAGCTTGTAGGTACCTGTACTTTGCTACTAGTAATTGACAAATATTTATCTGGACCTAAAAGTACTTTAGATTCATTTGGTGTTGATACTATTTACTTTAAAATATCTTTTTCTCTTTCCTTTCCTGTATATAGTGTTTTGTGCATTTACTTAGACTTCAATTTACTTTTTCATGGTATAAACTTCTTATTTTTTACATTTAATTGATATATAACACTATAGAAATAATTTTAGTTTCAGTGTGTGGGTGATACATTTGTTTTTAGGGTATGCCCTATGGGATAGTTATGTTGAATTACTAGATTAGGACAGAGCCATAAAAAGCATTAGAGCTTATTCTAATTCTCTGAAAGTTGCAAAGGCTAAAAAATGTCATTACCTATTTGTTTATTTATAACTTAATTTATTTCTATACACATTTTAATTCTATACTATTATTGGGGAAAATGATAAAATAAGCTCATTATAAGAAGGCACAAGCATTATTTGAGAATTGCAAATGTAGCTTACAACATTGGAAAGTCTGTTAAAATAAGAACGCTCAATTTACTCCTCCGAAAAGTTGCCAGTTTATATGCAGTATTTCTTCAAAAAGTCTATGGTATCTACCCATTTTAATGTTCTTTTTCATAGTTCTAGTATTTTCATAGCTAATAAGAAGAAATAGAAAAATATATTTCCAGGGAAATATTTACACTCACATGCTGGCATAAAAGTAACATAATACCTATAACTACCATATATAAGGTATCATGCTACACCCACCAGGAAGCAATCGGTCCACAGCTTAGAGTGTGTAGCTGTACAACCTAGGCAATTTATCTAATTATTCTTGATCTTAGATTCCCTATTACATGAGTATAATTACAGTGTCTACCTCAGGATTGTTATGATGATTAAACTATATAACAATTTTTAAAAGCAATGGCATAATAACAGGTATATACGTAAACACTTGATAACTGTTAAGTGATATTTAAATTAGGTATTAGTATTTTAGAAAAAGTTCTTTTAGTTGTTAAATAAAAGCCAACTCAAGCTAGATTTCATATAGTCAATATATATTTACCGAGCACTTACTATGTGCCTCCCTATGTGCCAGGCACTAGGCTAAGAACTGGTAAGGAAAAAGGGAAAATTTATAACAAGGGTGTGGGGTGGTACTTAGAACTCAAAGGTAGACTTGCAGCTGAACTTCATTCAGAAAGAAATGAAACTGGAAACTGGAAAGCTGCTGGAAACCTAGGAAATAGTCTGTGTCTCGCAATATACTTCTCTTGGCAGGCTGGTTTCTATTTTCTTCTAAGTAGATGAACTTTTTCCGCAATGAAGCTTAAGTAGTGGATTGAAGATAACCACCCACAAGCTACCAGTTCAAATGTGACTGTTCCAGCCATCCTGAGAGACTGCTCCTACTCTTTTCTCTCTCTTTGATCTTTACCTTAATTCCAATGTTTGATAGGGATCGAGTGTCTATCCTTATCTGAACAGGAGGTCAGCTAACATGGTCATGGTAAATTGAACAAATACTTCAAATGCTACCTACATCAAGTTATCCACAATTTATAAAGAGAAAGGTAAGGCTGAGAAGTTTGAGTTACTTTCCCAAGTTCATGTGGGTAGTGAATGTCAGAAATAGGATTCAACCCCTGGGGTTGTGCAAATGTAGTGTCAGCACATGAAAGTGAGCGCCACCTTCAATTTTTATCTTTGGAGCTTCACTGGCGCTAGTCCCAGCTCTGCTAATGTTTAACGGTTTTTTCGTGATACATACGTTCCCTTATTATTTCATTATCGTGCTCCCTTACAAAAATGTAGCACCTCCACAATTTTCAAAGAAATTAAATGTTTAAAAAAAGTTTTATGGATTCAGATTGTAGGAGTTCCAGAAGATATCACTAAAAGCAGAAACTTACCTTCCCATTCTGTTGGGATATTCCCTACTTCATAGTCTACTTCTTTTTTATTTACTGCTTCTATAATTCTTTTCTCTCGAATAATTTGTCCTATAAAACAAAAGTGATTGTTACATTTTTAAATGAACTCATGATACAGTAGTTATAATAATATCGTCTCTTTGATATTATATACCTTCTCATGTGGTAAAAGAATTAATAGGAAAAAAAACAGATTCCACTTAAAATTAGGCAATTTCTATATGACTGCAAAAACTTTAGTTTCCTATCATAAGATGTAAAATTAATTTTGGTGAAATATTTATAGATACTGTGTGCAGAAAAAAAGCAACCAATTAATCTGTAGGGCACTAGTGGCCAATGAAGACATTTTAATAATTGACAGTGTTCCATTCCCTCAAACTCTGCAAGAATAAATATATTAAAGGTGCTACTACCCAAGGGAATTGATATTTAGGGCCCCTAGTAAGTCTTAACCAACCACAAGACTCTGCAGCCACCCTGTCCCCATAGTACATTGGCAAATGAAGGAATCGAGTGGTGGGTTGGCCTCTGTGGCCCATCTGAGTAAATATCTCTCAAGGTAATCTAAATGAAGAGGGACAAAAACTGGTGCATTTTGGGTATGACGCTTCAGATGAGATCAATATCAGGATGGTAGCAATACAGAAAACACGAAAGCAGAGAGAGCAGTAAGAGAAGAGGAGAGGGGTCAGGGATGGGACAAGAATGCCTGTTGCTTAAATTTCTCGATAGCAAACTGTTGATTAGTGTTTAAGTTCATAGGAAAGGCATAAAACTATTTAGTATTTTCTTCTGTTTTCAGAAAGTCTTAATTATACCCTTCAAAGTAGGTTTGTCAAAATGGTGGTTTCAAAATGTTCCCTTTTCATTAAACTTTGAGCCTAGGGACACCAGATATGCTTTCTACTTCCCAATAGTTAATAGTTGTGCCTGCCTACTCCAGGGCATGCAAGCTGAAACAGAGAAAACATCTATACTAATAAAAGGGTAATACGCTAATTAGACTGGATAGACCGGATGTCTTCCGGACGTCCTTCCGGACAAAGACACGGTGGCGGGAGCCGAGGCAGAGGTGGATAGGGGAGATCAGGCAGGCAGGCAGAGTGGTTAGGGGTGACCAGGCTGGCAGGGGAGAGCGATTAGGGGCGATCAGGCAGGCAGGCAGGCAGTCAGGCAGGTGAGCGGTTAGGAGCCAGTGGTCCCGGATTGCGAGAGGGATCCCAGATTGGAGAGGGTGCAGGCTGGGCTGAGGGACCTCCCCCCTCCCCGCCCCATGCATGAATTTGGTCCACTAGGCCTCTAGTTGGTGAATAATGATGAGGGAGAAATTTGGCCTAACAATGATCAGCCCAGTCAAAGACAGAAATCTACAAAATACTGCTTTCTCTTCTCACTCCTGGGCCAAAATTATGCTAAATAAACTGGGTAACATACTTTTTAAAAATTGACCTTGTTGCCTGCAAATCTCTTTCACACACTACCTGAAATTCTACTAGCTAAAAATTCCTCAATTGCAGACTAGGAAACTCCTGAGAGTGACTATGCAGAAGAAAGGAAGCCACATAAGGGTAGCCTAAGAATATTAAGTGACTAGTTTTATTTTCTCTATTTAGAAATAGTTAAGTGAAAGGCTGGGATTTCATAGACAAACCATTAATGGCTGATAACTCTGAAGTACAGGGTCAGGAAATCTCTGCATTTCATTATGGACTCATTTAATCAGGATAATTTAACCCTAACACAGAGGTTTTCCAAGTTTTATAAAGAGGCGTTACCTTTTGCTTCTTTTACCCAATAAATTTACAGTAGGGCAAGGGATTAAGAGTAAAGTCCTTAGATTGTAGGGACAAGGGTCAGGGTAAAAGGTCTATAAAAATGAGAGCTGTACTATTCTCAGAGCAGAGGCTCAATATATGTACACATATTTTTACTAAAATGCTATTTATATCCACATACATAAACATATTGTAGTAACCAGAGTTACCATAAATTTAGCACATACTAAAATATGTTTACGTGACAATTTTCAAAATGTTGAAAGAGCCAAAATACCGGTTTCTTCATATAGTCCTTATCTAAATACTAGGATGCATGTCATTTTAGCAACAGCAAGTGTAGAAAGAAAAACTGTTGTATAAAATACAAAATATTGACAAATAGGCTTCTGAAAGTGTGTTCTATAAGCTTTGGAATGCACATCAATAAAATTTAGCACATGGGGAGAAGGGTCTACCATTCCCAGTAGCACCACTAAATGCATACATGTTACAAATATATCTATATAGACATTTACATTAACACAAAAATTAACTTTTAATTCATGTCCATGGGTCTATACACTTCATTTAAGGTTTCCTAAGATCTTTGAAAATCAGAGGCCATACCTATTTGTGTGTATGTAGAAAGACAAGATTAATTCATGAGTTTGTTTAATCAATTCCTTGATAATCTCTGAAGAAAACTTTTTTTTTTACAAATAAATGACATCAAAGATGTTTTAAAAATGACGTACACATCTTTAAAAATATAAAATAAAGCCCTTAGTTTATTAAATAAACTCTTCATAATAAGATATATGACTGTTCCCCCCCAAAACAAATTATTTTAGAACTACTCCCTTCTTTGGATCAATCCTACTTGTATAATTTTCATTAATTGGGAATGAAATTTATGCCTCCCACAGAGTAATAAATTATGCCCAAACTGTACATTTACTCATACTAACATGCTTTCATACAATAGTTGTAAAGACAATTCTACTTATCACAGAAAAAAAAATTCCATCTAATAAACAGAGCAAATTTAAGTACCTGCTCAAGTGTCAAAATTTTAGGGTCTAATTTACATTTAAAAATTAACTTAAGCCTTCAGGTCAAGATGGTAGTGGAGGTAAATGCATCTTCCCACAACCATATCAAAAATACAACTAACCTACAGAACAACCATTATTCAGAACCACTTAACTGGAAGTCCCACAACTAAGAATATAAAGAAGAAATCACATATACTAGTAGAGACTGGTAGGAGGGGTGAAGATGGCAGAATGGGCTAGTTCTCCACCCATGTGTGGTAGATAAAAATTGGGAGGGATATCTCAGGTGTGGAGGCCTCCTCTGAGGAGTCCCGCTCCATGGGGTCAACCCTTGCACAGCTGATACTCAGGGGTAAATCCCTTCCATTGACCTGCCAACAACAACTAGTTGAAGGCTCAACTACAACAGAGGGTATATACAGGGGCACACCTAGAGTGTCCAACTCAGTTGAAAGGGGAGGCTATGCTGTTGGACTCTAAAGGACACCCACTACATTGAGGCCACACTACCAAGCTTGGAAGACATAGTAGCTCTACCAAATACATACAAACACAGGGAGGCCACAAAAATGAGGAGACAAACATGTCCCAAATGAAAGAACTGAACAAAACTCCAGAAAAAGAACTAAACAAAATGGAGATAAGCAATCTACTAGATGCAGAGTTCAAAACTCTGGTTATAAAAATTCTCAACGAACTTAAGGGAAGAGTAGATGAACTTAAGAGAACTTCAACAGCATAAAAATGACATGGAAAGCATAAAAAAGAACCAGTGAGAAATGAAGAATACATTAACTAAAATGAAGAACACATTACAGGGATACCACAGTAGAGAAGATAAAGCAGAGAATCAAAACAGTGATTTAGAATATAAGGAAGCAAAAACACCCTATCAGAACAGCAAAAAGAAAAAATTATTTAAAAAATGAGGTCAGAGTAAGGAGCCTCTGGGAAAACTTCAAGTGTACTAACATTTGCATCATGTGGGTGCCAGAAGAAGAAAGAGCGCAAGATATTGAAAACCTATTTGAAGAAATAATGACAGAAAACTTCCCCCACCTGGGAAGTAAAGAGACATACAAATACAGGAATAACAGAATCCCAAACAAGATGAACCCAAAGAGCCCACACCAAGACACATCATAATTAAAATGCCAGAAGTTAAAGACAAAGAGAGAATCTTAAAAGCAACAAGAGAAAAGCAGTTAGTTACCTACAAAGGAGCCCCCATAATATTGTCAGCTGATTTCTCAATAGGAACATTGCAGGTCTGAACGGATTGACATGAATTATTTAAAGTGATGAAAAGCAAGGACCTACAGCCAAAATTGCTCTACCCAGCAAAGCTATTATTTAGAATGGAAGGACAGATAAAAAGCTTCCCAGACAAGAAAAAGCTAAAGGAGTTCATCACCACCAAACTAGTATTACAAGAAATACTAAAGGGTCTTCTTTAAGAAGAAAAGTAAAGATAAAAAATTTGAATAAAATGGCAGTAAATACATATCTATCAACAATTGAAGCTAAAAAATAAAATAAACAAATAAGCAGAACAGAAACAGACTCAAATATAAAGAAAACAGTTTGATGGTTGCCAGATGGGAAGGAATTGGAGGGTTGAGTGAAAAAGGTGAAGGGATTAAGAAGTACAAATTGGAAATAACAGGATAGTCATGGGGATGTAAAGCATAGCATAGGGAAAGTAGTTTATAATATTCTAATAACTATGTAAGGTGTCAGAAGGGTATGAGATTTATTGGGATAGTCACCTAGTAAATTATATAATGTCTAATCATTGGGGTGTACACCTGAAACTAATCTAATACTGTATGTCAACTGCAATTGAAAAATAAAGAAATGAGCCCGGCTGGCATGGCTCAGTGGTTGAGTGTTGATCTATGAACCAGGAGTTCACAGTTCGATTCAGGGCACATGCCAGGGTTGCTGGCTCGATCCCCAGATGGGCCATGCAGGAAGCAGCCAAGCAGTGATTCTCTCTCATCATTAATGTTTCTCTCTCTCTCTCTCCCCCCTTCCTCTCTGAAATCAATAAAAATATATTTAAAACAACAAAGAAATGATTTTAGACCTGGCTGTTGTGGCTTGGCTGGTTGGAGCATTGTCCTGTACACCAATCCCTGGTTAGGGAGCATGTGGGAGGCAACGGATTAATGCCTCTCTCTCTCTCTCTCTCTCTCTCTCTCTCTCAGATCAGTTTAAAAAATGATTTTACAAAATTAATTTAGCCCTACCC